GTCACATATGCTGCCATTGCTGCAAACTTCACCCGAGAAACCACCCTTTCAGGCTCTTCTGTTACAAACACCACTAACTTGAATAGAGAGACAAACAATAAGCAATCATCACTTGGCTGCAAGTCAGGACAAACCACCACCTAACCTTACAACTCAACTAAAAAGGGATCTAACAATAGTGCCCTGACTGTTGTGTGCTCGAGCGTATCCGAATCAGCAGCTATCACACTGCAAAACAAATTGTCTGACGATCTAAATCAATGGGAGCCGCTGTGTTTTCTGATAAAAGTAAAAGCCAAACCCACAAACGTTGTACGAATTACTCGTCAACCGAACTCTGCACACTTTGGCGAGCCCAGACTTATTAGAATCCTCAACGGATGTGGAAAAGGTTCTGCTCTACGCATGCGCGCTGCAACGTGGATGGTGTGGGATTTGTAGCTATCCTGATGTTCCGTGAAACATGCGACAGTCGAAAAGAAACTCCGAAGAAGGACGCGGCAAGGCCGATTGTCTAAACACTATCTCCATCAATGGTGTGCCAGAGCTTCCCTCACACGATTTCAAGAGGCTGGAAATCACGACTTAGAACAATGGCGATTCATCCGCGCAACCCTTTGCTTGGATAATGTTGTGGCGCGATCGCTCAATGCTTACCTCTCTCGCCAGATTATACAGGATGAGGCCCGGGAATCCAACGAAATCATCGAAAAACCAAACGCACCAGCAATGATGCGCATTTACCCAGTACTGTCGTAGAGCCAGATGAGAGTTGGGACGCGCCTTGGCTAGAGCATAGAACCGAAGTGATATCAGTATCTCATCACAAAAACGAACAATGACCGACCTCAAGTCGGTCGGCACTCCCACACACTCGACTTTCTTGACCCTCTGAGGACTACTAGAAACAGATAAACCAGCCTGTTTGTACACGAATGCTCAGCGCCTCTTCAATAAGCTGGCCGAACTGAAACATCGCCGAATTTCCCAGACATATGATTGCTTTGGCATCACGAAGAAGTGGTCACACATTGAAATGACGGACACTGAAATTTCTCTACCTGGCATGTCACTCATTCGTAACGACAGACTGACGAAAGGAGAAGGCGTAATTCTCTATTATAGAAGCGAAGAAGCTTCAACTTCATCTGCTATGCAGAATGCCGTGATGCGGACAATGGGACCGCGTAAACCATCACATGCTACGGCCGAGTATCCCACCACCTCAGTGCCACAACCTGTTCGTTCCTCACTGAAGACCCCCTGCATTCCGCCTGGTTCGAGTTCGTAAAGAAATCCAATCGGCTGATTACGGATGCTGCAGAGACAAAAGTTGGCAAAAGGTCTGCACTAGTGACTTACTTAAGGAGAAGAACGCGAAAATTGCTGACAGAACGCAACGCAGCGTAGCGAGAGTATACATTATCCCCAACCCCGGAAAGCTGGGATAACTACGTAGCCCAACGAAACCAATGCACTCAACTGCTCGGAGAGGATAAAGTCACGCATCAGAATAACATGGCAAAAACGATACTTACGACGGCTGATAGAGCAACGGGAACGGCTACGGTAGCAGTCAACACGCGGCGGATACAATATGCCCCCACCTTCCCGAGGTTATTACCATCAGGAGATCCTCCGGATTTTCTCATCTCGCCGCGGGACTCACTCACATCCTTACCACTGAAGCCGTCTTGTAGAAGCTGACCGCTGTACGCAAGCACAAATCCCTGGATGTCAACACTATTCGCCCAGAGATACTGGGAGGCGCCTCGAGTAAAATGGTAGAGTAACTAGGTCAGTTTTCTAGTGCTGATTAGACCAGAACCAAGTACCTGCCATGTGGAAGCACGCAATAATAACAACCATTCACAGAGGTAGAAGCAGAACCGAGGCTTCAAACTACCGCCCAGTTTCTATTCTCCCTACACCATTCAAGGTGATGGAGCTGGTGATGATGCGCTGATGGGCTATTTGGGAAACTCTTTTATTATTTTGCAGTAGCACTGCTTGCGTCGAAATCGATCGTGCACAACAAATTTGCTGATAGTACGGAGTTGCTGGACCCAGTCATCTGACGTTGGAGAGGATGTTGGTGCGATTTACCTAGATTTTTCGAAAGGATTCGGCTGTCTAGATCATCGGATACTGCTTTCCAAGCTATAGCGTTGCAGGATCGGCGACCCTCTTATAAACCGGATCGCCAACAATCTCCTTCAGCGGCAATTAGTGGTCAAAGGCCGGAGCTCCTTCTCTGACCCCATACAAGTTGAATGTGGTGTGCCTCAAGGCTCGGTGCAAGATGCTCGATTGTTTTTGGTATTAATGAATGACCTCACCGTTGTGTCGCCACTGACGCCTTCACCCCACGACCGCAAGAAGAAGTCCAAGGACGAGCCAGAAAGAGACTTGTATACATGAAATCACAGTTGCTTATATAGTGTGGAAGGCAAAATGAAGGAAAGCTACTAAATTACACTTGAGCCAACCAGCAGAAGGAAAACGTCAAATGCAACGAGCGAAAAAGCAACCGCGTAATAAAAAGTGAATCGCATATGTCCTTAAAAATAGTATCATGGGACTCTAAGTGTAAAGCGAACATCCATTTACAGTGACGGGCACTGGCCAATCAGAATAACGAAATGTAGCGTTTAAACAAATGGCATGAAACAAAGAAGAATATGAAATGCAGACCCAAAAATTAAAAATAGTAAAATAATCGTGTGACAACTAAATATTCCTTTAACATAACCAAGTAGGAAAGTGATACGGAGAAAAACAAGTGGAATGTGTTCTTGCAAATGGCACCGCTGAAGATGTTCCGGAGATGAGCGTCCATTAACAATGACGTATGTGTACCAATCGGGCTAGCACAGTGGAGCATTTAAACAACAGTCAAGAAGTGGAAAATAGGAAGAATAAAGGATGGCTGTTAAGCTAGTTCACAAAAGATGAATGTCAAATAACCATTATCCAAACACTCACACAGGCAATAACATCTAAGTTTCTGATGTTTGCCGATGACGTCAACATCTGGCGCAAGATTCAGATGAATACTGACAAGCAACTGCTTCAGAGTGATCGAGACGAAGTACGTCATTGGTCCATCCAAAATTCACTGCAATTCCATGTGAGTAAATGCAAGTTGCTCTCCATATGATGCCACAGCAACCACTGTTACAGCCTCGGAATGCATGTGCTCTAACGAGCTGCCAACGAACGTGATTTGGGTGTACTGGTTCAGGATGATCTGGGTTGTTCCAGGCAATCCGCGAAAGCCACCAAAACTGGTAATCGACATGTGGGCTTGGTACGACGGATGTTCGGACAAATAGGTCGCACTATTTTCCGGCAGAAGCTTAGTACGTATGTTCGTTGTCATGTCGAATACGCAATTCAAGCCTGGCACCCATGGCTAAAAGCCGAGCTTAGTGCATTGGATCAGCCCCAGCTTTGAGCATCAAAGTAGCTTATTTGAATGCATCACCTTGCATACAATGAGATGCTGCAACAATTGGGGGTATGCAGCGGACGTTACCACCTCGTACGTGGTGACTTGATAATAGTGTACCTAATACTGCACGATCCACATTATGCGTACCGCTGTTTACTGCAATTCAGCAGTAATACCAACTTGAGCGGTCACTCACTAAAACTGCCAGAACAGTACAACCACGTGGATTGCCGCAGGAGGTTCTCTTCCGTCCGAGTGTGTCATCTGTGGAATGCTCTTCCAGAATCGGTCAGTTCTGCACCATCACTATCCATATTTAAAAGATGTTTGGATGACTCACTTACTCACCTACACTTTGTTACCTAGTACTACACCACCATTCCAGTTTTGGAATATATTTTGATTTATTTGCTGTACCATGTTTGTGCTGTGAATCTATACGGATCACAGGACTACAGCGAAACAAATGAGAAGTCCCCCCTTTTAAATGCAAATACTCACTGCCTTTTTATTTTGCGATAACCCTGTGAAGCATTGCTTCTTAACCCGTATAAATTCAATGTTCATTAGTGGGCCGATCGTTTGCCAATGTCCCTGTTCCATGCAGTTACGGCTACTTGGTTGCGACATAGACGGCAACCACCAGTTGGGCACTGCTCTCATACACCTCTTGTACGTCTAGTTCTTCCTGAGTTGCAATCTCTGCCACAGGAGCCTATGTGCGCACTATTTAATGGCAATGTCACAAGTGACAACCAAGATACGTGTGCCACAAAGTGATGTTTTCACTTGGCAGTGGAAATCGGATCTGTGCCCCAAAAGTCTTAAAAATGACACGATTTTTCATAGCTCGTTTCGTTATGGACAAAGTGAGCTGATCCGTTGAATGCAAGACGACAACAGTTGTCAGTAATAGCTGGGGCATTAGTGGCCTTAGGATATTATACGCGTATAGGGAATGGATATTATGAGTGATAAATCCAAAGTGTACGAGAGCTTCGGTTCAGTTAATGTGGGCAGTTACGACTCAAGTTACCATGATTTGCGCTGAGATGACTAACAAGAGAAAAAACACAGAAATGAGAGTAGGTCAAGCTTAGAAATGCAATTGCATAGTCCCACAGGAATCCACTTCATAACGTTTACCGGTTTCCTTGAAATGTATGGGAAAAGCTCAGCGCGTCTTCCACAGTAAATTTTGACACACCTGTCATCACAATCAATCGTAGGCGAGCTTCGGTGGGTTGCCACTTGTCGGTTAATATTTGTTCGCTCGAAGCGAGCGATAGAAAGCGAATGAGTATCGGATATGTTAACATTCGAGACACCCTACGGCATTAGGGATGCCTGTGAGTCGAGCTGCATACAAATGGCATGCCTTTGTCTCACGGATCAACAGCAGTGAGTTAAGAGAACCACCAATGTGGATCACAGAGTTAGAGTGCCAGTTGCAAACATGTCTACTATCGCAAGTAAGTCGACCTGGATGAAAGTAAGAGAGTGAAAACCATGAACTGGAACGAGGAAGATGCATATTAGGGCTTACCTTTGGAGGCACTCAGACTCACTAAATGAAGGCACAAATGCAAGGAAGGGGCGAATGTGGCGGTATGACAAGAGGCGATTCAAAATTGACACCCGGATGCAGACCATGCAGCAAGCACATGAGGATACGGTAAATGCGGTAAGCATCACACGAGTTGATCCACGGTCCGGGGTTGGTGGATATATGGATGGATGGAGGAACGAAGCACAAGGATGAATTCAATGAAGCGCGAATTGTGGATGAAACAGTAAAGACACAACTGCAGAGCTACACTTGGTTTAGGTGTTTAAACACACAGGGCAACAGGTTCTTCAAACAAAAAAGTAAAATAAAGAAGTGCGATGAAAATGGGGCTAGTAAGCAAGACAGAAGGCGTTTGGAGCGGTAACATAACACATTAAAAATCGGGCGCCATTAGCAAGAACAGGAGTGGTGAAAAGGGTGGTGTATTACCAGAACGGTTTGAGCAGCCAAGTTTCACCTAATTCGAACCCTCGATGAGATGGTGTTGTTGAGAATGGACTCGACTAGGTGTTAAAAAAGGTGTGCACTGGTAGCAGGAATGGCAGTATTCAGTTGCTTCAAACATTGGGACGCGTTTGATGGCGCCATAAGAAGTGCTAAAATTCACTATCACTTCAAAGAGAGTGGTAATTCATGATTTATCTATACTGTTCGGATTGATGGCTCTGAGATAGTCCAGCAGGAAATCGACAATTCTGCTAACGCGGGTAGACGGTTTGCATCATCTAATCTTTGTTAGGAAGTGAAGTTAATGTAGGTATAAAGTTTTTGCACACACAGGAGGAGTAAATGCGTAGCCATAATGCGCACGAGCCCACAGTGCTGATGCTTCTGAGACTGTCCGATATGAAATCAACTTTTCTAGCGATTTATGCAAGTGGTCGCTGTCAACTCATCCTTTAAGTCAAGTCATTTTAAATGTGAGCTTCACAGAGTTAGGACCGGTGATATTTGACAGTAGCACAAACGCCTTCAGTCTAGTAAAACGAACAAAGCTTGCTGCAGGAGATTGAGACATTAGCGAACAGCAGTATAGCCTCAAACTTTCTGGTAAACCCTTGAACGGCTGTGTCCTGGTTGCCCGAAAGATGCGCCATATGTGTGGGACGACAGAGCACTATCGGGCATGTGCGCGCGCGCCTAAGTAGTTATGTACTTCAGAATGATCGAGGACGTTGATACACGATTCGTGCACAATGAAGAAGTTTACTTGTCTCCTTGAGTATTTTTGAGGCAAATACTTTAACCGGAAGTGATATGCTTGGACATACAAATGTAAAAAGCCCCTTATAAGGTCAACCTGTCCCGTTATGTTGGCAGCGTTTAAGGCTTGCACTTCAAGACGAACAGGCAACATGATGTACCCGCATGCACGTTGGATACCCTAGGTATTGATGTGTGTTACGTATCCGAAACTATGATCAATGTCCCTCGAGGGGTTGTTAAATTAACATCACCCGACTTGTCCTCTTGCTATTGGCTGCATGCATCCGGGAACGATGATGCGCTAGTCACTGGTCAAGCCGCAGTGGACATGGTTCTCAGCTCCAAGACTGAGTTTTATTTGCTTGATTGGATTTCCATGGAGAAGCGTTTGTGTGCACCGGTTTGGCGGCTTCAACTAAAGTGGATTCACGAAGTAGCGCTAGACGTCATTCGTGGATGCCGCTTAAGCCTCCCCCCCACCGACTGCAGTCCTGATGATACCAAGGACGCCTTATACCCATTACTGAACACGCTGCTACGCAAGGTGGCCAGTTCAAATTTCGTTATCGCTGCAGAGGATATGAATGAGCAAGTAGGTTGTTTGAATTCTTTGGAATCTGAAGTAGGTATTAATATAGGCTTCACACCGAACAGACCGAAAGCTGCGAGCGTCTCTTGAAAATGTGCGCGGAACACCGCCTGTTCCTTAGCAGCACCGTTTTTCTGGCACAGCGGACGCCGAATTGTCACTTGGCGTCTTATATAGCTTGGCAGCGATTAACTCTGATAGACCATGTTGCCGCAAGTTTGAAACAGCGTCGTTCCATCCTGAATTGTCGCTGGTTCTGAAATATGTGCATCGAATGCGATCATGTTGTGTTAAGCTGTCGTTTTCCCTTTGGCGCTTGGAAATCGAGAAGCTATCCTAAACTGGTCTGGCAAGCTTTCTAGAATGTCCCGCGTACTGAAGTATCACTCGGTAGCCTTACGAATTTCGAGCTTCAGTGAAATAGAATATCGGCCGCCATGCAGAATGGAATGCTTCTGCTTGCGGCACAAAAGTTGTCACGGCACCAAGCCTTGAATGTCCCAGAGGTCAGTGATTCTGTTGGAATGCAAAAGTAGACTCCCGGCTGGCTCTGAGCACAATGTAGCCAGACGGACCACTAGGCGCGATCCAAAGCGGATCATGCTTGCTAACACCGAAGTCTGGTGGACTAGTAGGGTTCAAGAAATGGGGGAGGCTAGAGCAGTAGGTCATTATTGCAAATTCCTCCACCTGAGCCGCACTGCGGTCTCAGGGACCGAGGAAGCAGTGAGACAATCAGAGACAGTTCGTATGCTTTGATTCATGATAACGAGCGATGGTTGACCCGCTAATTGGAGCACCTTCGGAAACACTTCCGTCGGCACCCAGCTTCTAGACCCGTTAATACTCAGGTAACGCAGGTTAAGCCATGACTGGTTGCTTTAGAGGCACCATCGGAGGCTGAGATCTAAAAAGGAATCACAGGTCACAATCAATTTGGAGCTACTGGTTCGGATGCCTTTGAACCCCACTGTATAAGAATGGTACTGAGGCCCACCGCAAAACACATACCCACTTATTGGAGAGGTTGTAGCTACGATGCAATTATTCTCAAGATGTTTGGATGGAAAATAAGTTACGACTATATGGAAGCAGGGTGTAATTACTTCAATTTTAAAGAAGCCAGACGTTGATTCAGCAAACGCTCACCCAGTGATTCGCTTTCATGTGCACCAGAAGGTGACTTAAACGGTCGTTGCCGAGTCCTTCGTAGACTACGTAGGAACACTCAAACGCATGGCACGGCACCAGTACGACTCCCGACAACAACAGTCACGCACCACCAGCCGACTGATGGCACAAAAGAGTTAAGCTGAAGCGGCCATTGATGGTGTCGAGATCAATGTCGTCTGCCTGGACTTATTCGAAGGTTTCGACCGCCTAGGTCACAACACCCTACTTCACAGGCTGTAGAGGTACGCATCAGAAATGCTGTTCCTGGGTAGATGGCAATCTGCTTCTCCAACGGAAAATACAAGGACATGAACTGGTATCACTTTTGACCCGATAGAGACGGAATACGGTGTTACACAGGGTTCCGTGCTGAGATCGCGCTTATCCTTGGAGTTCACAGCGACGTTGATGGCGTTATCACTTCGGAATTCCTGATTTACCGCAAAGATGAGATCAAGAGGTTACAAGCGGTTAACGAAAACAAAAGCCGGGAGTCTCTCTAATGTGTCCCGGATTGTATGCATGAGTGGCTAACCGAGAACTTACTACAGCATAGCACATCTGAGTGTATGGTGGTACATATTCGTCAATATCCAGCCAGTGCGTATAAACCAGGAGGCTATGTATATATATATATATATATATATATATATATATATATATATATATATATATATGGTTTGTTTTGCCTATATGGATAGTCTTCTATTAAATGGCCACGTTGTTTACGCTAATTGCGCTTATCTTCGGTAATTTAGTTGAGTTTGTAGCATTTTTGAGTAACGTGTGGATATTCTTTTTCCTTATCGCGGATTCATTGCTAACCAAATTACTTCATATGGTAATTTAGCGAAGAGTTATGCCACCGTATCTGTATGCATTATGGGATTTATTTTATTTCATTTTGTCGTTTCAAGTGATTGACTGTTGCTTGATATCCCAGATGTGGCTGCGCTTGATGTGCATGTTGACAAGGTGCCTACCTGTCTATTACCCACTACCTCGTCCATCTGGCTCCAGGAGACAGTTGGTCGTTACGGGAGGGGACGGGGTGCACGGTCCTTGTGGCCGTGCTAGGCTCGAAGAGTGGTTCCATGCATTCAGTGTGGAGCGGACTACGGTCCAGCCACCGCCTTGTGTGCGCTTGATTCCCCAAATACAGTGTGCTTGTGTTTGCCTGTGAAGGAGTGTGGGCCGGCTCCGTTGATGAGACGTGGCTCCCATCCACATGCCTCACGGTCTTATTCCTTCGGGTTTACACTGGATATGGGGTGTGTGGTTGGAGCTGTGGGTGGTGCAGCGCAAGCCACCCATGGTCCCTCTGTAGGCGCAGGCGTCCTGTGGCTTGCCACAGTGACAGGCAAATCCGAAACCGGATGCCGCCAACCAGATATATATATATATATATATATATATATATATATATATATATATATATATATATATATATATATATATATATATATATAGCACCAGAGTCCATGGTGCGATGAGGCTTGCGGTGGCGACATCCTGGCAGATCGACTCGCTGCTGCTAACTTTGCGATGTGGGGTCATCTACTGGACGCCTTCTCGTGGCGACTGTTGGGAAGGAGTTGGGTTAGACACTTTTTCTAGCTGTTTTAGAACACACAATTCCACATGAATCCATTCACTGACTCATGGCGCTCGGCCGCTGTCTTTCGGGTGTATATTTTATCGAAGGCTAAAGTTGAGGACCCGAGGCGTTCTCCTGTCAGGTGTGGACGCCCTGGCATTATCCTACTCCAACTTCTTTCAAAAATATGAAATACGCCAATAATAAAAAATCCATACTGCATCTGCCATCGTGTAGCGGCCTTAGGAAAAGGGTCGCCTTATCTGCTGCATACAGCGAGGTGGATAGGCGGAAACATGATAGTGCCGGCGACTTCCTTTTTGTTCTTCCCCTGCACATACTCTTTCCGTCCCGGTTTCACCTAACCCACGACTTCCTCCAATACAAGTCGTCACCACCCATACGGTTGCCCGCCATCGCAATCGTGTCTCC